TCAGCCCCCACAGGGCTACAGACCTGCCAGGGGATGTGGGGGTGAGGGGGCCAAGGGGGGCACTGCCTGCCCACCCCAGGCACCTCTTCAGCCCCGCACTCACCCGTCATCGGCGCCCGACACCATGTGCTCCTCATTGATGAGCTGGATACAGTCAATGGAGCCCCTGTGGAGGGAAGGGGCAACTCCTGTCAGTTATGGGTGTTCTTTGGGAATCCTACTCAGGGGACAAAGGATCACAGGAGCATCAGTGTCCTCACAGTGCCAGCAGGCTCCTGAGGATGCTTGGCACCTTCACGTCACTGCCCCAGCCACACCCACCTTCCCGCAGCCCCCTCTCCCACCCCAGACCTACTGGTGTCCGCAGAACACAAGCTGTGACTCCTCAGGGATCTTCCAGAGCCGCACGGTGCCATCACGTCCCCCTGATGTCACACAGCACTCCCGGCTCAGGCTGTCCAGCCCTGTGATGATGTCCTGATGCCCAAATCTGGAGGTGGAGATGGCAAAGAGCTGCAGCAGGCACAGCCCTCGGCCACATGGCCTTCCCCAGGTAGGAAGGGTCAGTGGGGTCCCCCCCAGCTCTTACAGGGTCTCCATGTATGCATTCTCTGCCACGTTCCAGACCTTGACACAACGGTCATGGGAGGCACTGTACAGCTGGTGTGTACCCTTCTGGAAGGACAGGCCCTGCAGACAGAAAGACAGACGGACACAGGGGCAGTGATGAGGGACACCAGGGAGGACAGTGCTGCTTGGCCCCACCGACATCACAGACCATGCCCCTGACTCACTGAAACAGCATCACGGTGCCCGGTGAAGATGTGCAGGCGCTTGCATGTGGCTGCATCCCAGATCATGATCAGCTTGTTCCTGTCTCCTGTAGCCTGTCAGAACGCAGAGGATACTGGAGACCTTCCCTCAGGGACCCACAGCCCACTCCAGTCTCTGCTCCCACCACATGTGCCCCAAGGACCCCTTCTTGACTCCATTGGAGGCAGAGGCTGCTTTAAAACAGCAAAGTGCACATGGGCATGAGACACTGCCCCCCAGCACCCCAAGAGGAGATCACAGAATCACAGAGCAGTCAGAGTGGAAAGGGACCTATGGAGATCATCTAGTCAAACCCCCCTGCTAGAGCAGGATCCTCTAGAGCAGACTACACAGGAACATGTCCAGGCGGGTTCTGAATGCCTTCATGGATGGAGACTCCACGGCCTTCCTGGGCAATTTTTTTCAAATTACCCTGAGAGATGCATTCTCCCACCACTTCTCCACCCCATGAGCCAGGCTCTCTCCCATACCAGGTACTTGCCATCCGACGAGATGGCCATGCAGAGGACCTGGGACGCGTGCCCCATGTGCCGCTCCTCGGTGCCCTTCTTCCCCCCTGGCACCACACACAGCCTCTTCCCACTCTCCACCTCCCCTGTGGGAAATGCATTGCTGTCATCCCCTGGGAGACCCCACCACCCTGGAGAGGACCAAAAAGCCTCCCACAGAGCCTGGAACATGTACATACATGCACATTCCCAGAGGGGCTGGGGACCAGGCACCCACGGCCCTCCTGCTGTGAGGTCCTTGCAGGGTTCCAGCCAATCATGATCCCAAGGGAACACTTACATTTGATGAGGGCGCCATCTTTGGAAGCAGAAAAGATGAACGTGTCATCTGGAGAGATGACGAGGCAGGTGACTGGCAGCTGGTGTCCCCGCAGCACGCGGATGCCGGCTGGATCTGGAGGCTGCACCTGTGGGGAGAGCGGGACGTGAGCTTGGTCACCTCGGCCCATTCCCCAGGCACGGGGGTACCCAAGCACAGCACCCCCGTTCTGCATGGTGCCATCAGCCAGCACTCTGGGTGGGAGAAGGGCCCTGGTGCTGAAGCCAACACATCAACTCGGGGTGCCGAGTGTCCCCCAAAGCCGGCACTTGCCCAGCTCCCCAAGTCCCGCCTGGCTCGCACGGCTCCAGCCGCACCTCCCGCTCCCTCCAGGCCCAGCCCGGAGCTGCACACGCTGTCCTCGCCCCTGGCACCCACCTGCCCCCCTCGCCCTATTGCCCGCCGCGCTTCCCTGCCGCAGGGCCTTTCCCGTCCCCCCTGTGCCAAGCTCTGCCCCACGGCCCCTCCCCGGGCCACTGGAGCTCCCCCCGGGCGCTCTGCACAGGTTCATGGTTTTCTCCTCATTTTCAGCTCATTTGTTTAGTATTTATTATTCCCACTTTTCCCTCGACTAGCTCCACAGACTTTTTAAAACTCCACATTTAAGTAGAAACAAGGAACATTTATTTTTCTTTGAAAAATCCAAAGCTTCAGCATTTCGGAATGGATTTTCACAGCTAGTAACAGATAAATAACAAGAGATAACAAAATATTGCTCCTTCCCTTCCCTTGCTGTGCCCAGAGCTTCTCAGTCCTGCCTGGGACACAGGGCAGGAGTGGGGACCAACAACCCACTGCCCCCCGCCCTGGCCCCTGCACAGCCTGCAGGGGCTGAGGGTGAGTAGCAGGACCCAGGTACTTGAGTCCAAACAAGTTTTGAAGAGTAGGTTTTTTTTCTGCCAACAAATGTGTGGATTTATTTATTATTATTTTTTTTGGTAATTTCTGTAAATAAAGTGGTTTGGGTTTTGTTTTTTACAAATGGATTCTTCCAGAGCTCAGGTGCAGCAGAATCTGCAGGAGGTGGGCAGGCCTTGCAGAGGGCAGAGCCACATCACAATTCAGAGCCCAGCAGGGCCCCGGGGGTCACACGACACCCCCGCTGGTGTCACCAGCTCCAGGAGCCTGGTGACAGGCAGGATGCAGGGCACAGCTGCAGGGCCAGGGCTACAAGGTGTCAGTGGCTTCAGGACTGGGAACTTTTCAGAACTCTAGATTTGTCTGGAAACAAGGAACATTTAATTTACTTTGAAACTACAAAACATCTTTTGGGAGAAATTTTAACCAACAGATAACTTTAATCAACAGATATCTTTTAACAACAGATAACAACAGATAACAACAGATCAATAACAACAGGTAACAACAGATATCCCTCCCTCCCTCTCCCATTTCTTCCCTCCCTCCCTCCCTCCTTCCCTTCCCTTGCTATGCCCTGGGAGACAGGGCCGCAGTGGGAGCAAACACCCACTGCCCTCCTGGCCCCCGCACAGCCCCGAGGGCAGCAGGGTCCAAGGGGGCACGCGACACCCCCCGCTGCTGTCCTGCCAGCTCCAGGAGCCTGGGGGCAGGCAGGGTGCAGGGCATGGACTCTGGCTCTGCCTTGGTGTCTCGCAGCCTAGCAGAGCAGCTGGTGCTTCCTGGCTGGTCTGGAGCGGGGGTAGGTGTTGTCCTGCGCCTGCTGCTCGCCCCAGGATGCCGGCTGAGGTGTCTTCTTTTCTCTTGGACCTGGGGAAGAGAAGACAGCCCAGCCCGCAAGGCATCCTAGGCTTGGGGCTGCAGGGCTGACTCTGCCCGAGCAGAGTCATCGCTGCGGGTCGAGTGCCGCCCCCTCCTCCGTGCCCTCAGCAGTGACAATGGGAAGATGGGTCTGGGTTTTGGCCGCACTGCTTGGAGGACGTGCAGGGATTGCAGTGCTAGGGAGGAAACCAGGGGACTGCCATCTTCCTGTGCGCCTTGGAGGACTGTGGAGACAAAGCAGCAGAGGTGAGGTGGCAGCCGGGAGGGAGCCAGGGGACGGGGAGCTTGGCTGGAGGCTGCTGGTCAGGAATATCCCCCTGCAGCAACAGCCCCCTCCCCATAACCGTGCTGGGAGGGGAGGCTGGCCCGGGCTTGGGGGGAGCTCCGTGCCAGGCTCCTTCCTCCTGGCTGCCCTCACTCACCCCCTTTGACATGCTCCATCTCCTTCTCCTGCATCCGCCGACCGATGAGCCCTGGGGGGACACGATGTGTCAGGGACCCTGCCACCCACCCCGACCTGCTGGGGAGGGCTTCCCCCAGCCAGGGTGCAGCACTGGGGAGGGGATGGGTGAGTCTGGTGCCAGCCCCACAGCTGAGGGCTGGGGGTGAAGAGGTGCCCTGCGGGTCCCTGACACAGGGAGCCCAGGAGAGGGAGGGAGCCAGGACTGGGGGCTCACCAATGACCCGGACTGCCTCGCAGCGCAGGAGCTCCTGGGGGCTGTGCAGGTAGCCCTGGCACTGGAGCAGGAACTGCTGGATCCTGGTCTTCTTCCTGGCCAGCTGCAGAGAGGAGAAGGGTGCAGGTCTGGTGCAGAGCTGACCCCAAACCCCGGGCCACGCTTCTGCCCCCCAGCAAGACAGGACTGTCCCGGCTTACCGCCATGTGGCATCAGGATTTGGAGGGAGGAGAGGGCTCCCTGAGGAGGCTGGGGTGCCCTCAGGGTGGCAGGGTCTCGTTTGGGGCCCCGAGGAGGAGGCCGGCCTGGAGCAGAGCCTGCTCTGGGAGGCTGTGTGCAGCCCCGGAGGCACAGCCCTCTGTCCCCCCACTGGGCACGGGGCAGGGGGACTGCCAGGGGGGTCGGGGCTGTGCTTACCAGGCACTCCCAGATGGGCTGCGCCTGTGCCTGCTCTGCCAGCTGCACCAGCCGC